CCCATAGAGCAACCAGTCGGAGTTACAACTGTATTATATTATGACAATCAAATGTAATACATGAATTAATTTTTTGTTTTGTACATCTTATGGTATAAAAATATTTATTTTCATATGATTATTACAACTGAATAACACGTCTTATTGATGATAATAATAAGCTGAGTTTAGAAAAAAACATAGAAAAACATTTTTGGTATTTAAGTATTCCTATATATAAAGTTCTATGGTTGTTTCCTGTGGTCTTCTAAACTAATATATTTCCCATTTTACATAACTAATTGATCATACATCACGAATAATACAAAAAATTAATTTGTTACTGACATGCAAACAAGTTGAAAAATAAAACAAAAGGAGGGTACTTTTTTTGTCTTTCTATGAAACATTAAAAAGTATTTACTTGTTAGTTGTTTTCTTCGCATGGTAACTTATTACTATCCAAGTTTATGACCACCCAAATTATAACAGGGATATTGACTACAAAAAACTGAATATATTATACTTTTGGAAATCAAACGTTAATGGTTCATTTTCGACAACAAAAAAAGAAATATTTAAAGGAAATTTATCTCCGTGATTACTGAATGTTAAAATTATTTTTAACACATCGATTATATCAATATTTAGATATAAAATAACAATTAGTTTCTTTTTTTGTTTCTGTACAATTTATTATCATTTTCCCATACTGTAGATCAGATGACATTTTACGATCGATAATAATAATTATTACTATCATTATTGTTAATGTCGTTTTTTTTTATTAATATTATGATTAGTAGTAGTAGTATTAGTATTATTATTAATAACTGTATTAAAATACTTATATTACAATTTACTTTCCCCAAAATCACTTAAACATACTGAATGATGTTGGATGTTTTCAAAAATCAATTATGATCAAATATATCATTATTGAAGCTCACTTATAAATAACAGTAGAATATAATATATAATTTCAAAGTAGTCATTAATTGCGGCAATAGAAATAAAAAATCGATCACAATCGAAATATTTAAAAATTTCAATGTTTTTATTTACCATAGAAACTTGAATAAATAAACACGTGCTTAATATGAATATAGTGAAAATCTAGTTTTAAAAAAAACAGAGATGTTTTACTGAAACAATGTCTATTAAGTTTATATCAAAATCATCTGTATAGCTTTAACTTTATATTTTACATTACTGTAAGGGATTTACAATACTAATGGATAGAACATTTCATCAGATCGTATGTATTTGTGATAATCAAAATTTTTGTAGATTGAAACTTATTTTCTTTTAGTAATTATTTATTGTCGCTATATCTTATTTGCACTATGAACATGGATGGAAAAGTGGTTTCATTAAATAACTAAGGTTGGATAATGTTTAGAGTTTCGTCTTATTTGGGAATTACCAGCTAGAGTTTTATTATGGGCTCATGTACACTCAAATGACTAGTTCCAGTTGGGATGAATCCCTCATTCAAGTCACCAATGCTAGCCAATATCAATCCGTTATAAATAATATTTAACAATATTGTAGTGATCTATACAAATTGGACATGTTCTGAAAGAGACTATTTAAAATCCAGTCCTTTACAAGGAAAACGGGCTGATTTGAATTCTTAAAAATTGATAATAACATCATGAAGTACTTTTAGTGTTATTGTGTTCTTTTAGCTATGAAGTTTAATTACAGAGTTCTCGTTGTCATTTTGCACAATATCATCAGCTTCAATTTTGCATAATCATTTCAATTATTAGATATTATTAGACACTTCACAACCCCTTGCTAATAATTATCATGTGCTTACTAACGGACAGATTCTAGAGGAAATTTCCGGAGTTCTAATGAAGGGCCTTGAACAGCGAGGTTCATCCGTGTTAGATGTGAGGAAGGTATTTACCAAAAACAATGAAAGATGGTCACACGTTATAGTAGGTTGATTAAAGTTAGATTTTTATACTAGTTGATTCCAGCTTGGTGGTCTATATGTAGAAAGTTAACACTCAACACTGAAGTCTCTGAGCTATATTACCGATACTCACTACTGAAGATTATCAAACTAGAAATAAATAACCATCAAGTGCTTTCAGGGTTTCGATGGATTTCTGACTTAGATTGGTTCATGAGAACGATAAAAGTCAACAATTTTCAAAAACCTTTATCATAAAAATTAATTATTTACAGATATATTAATTGATTTTTATAAGGAATTTTACAAGATGAAGATTTCAACAGTATGACACAGATTACAAAAAGAAACAATTCATCAATACAGTCAAATAAATTATCTACAGGGAGAGAACGATAAATGCTAATAAATTTTTTGTTACACGAAGGCTAATTTGCTTATTAAATCCTTTGACAGGGGTTTACTGTTTTGTTAATATAGAAATAGAACTGTGAAAATAGTTTACTTAATTTATTAAATCAAAAGTAAAGGGAATAAAATTTAAGTAAGATGAGTCTTTTTATGTGTGCAACTATCGAACAGTTACTTAGCTCCCATATAGATCGATTATTGAAATAAAAGTTCTTTTTAATCATCAAGCTAATGACCTTCATTCAAAGATATCTTAGGTCAGAAATTGTGGGGCTATACTAATTCTTAACCTACAGAAACAACCGTTTGTTGAATACATCATTTACTAATTAGTGGATGAGTATTTTTGAATAGATTGTAAGTGCTGTCGTAAAACCTTGGATACTAACACGTACTATGTAAAACCTTTTAACTGAAATAACGTCGTTTCTTACATCACCAGTTTAATTAAAATGTTTACATTGATCATGTTGGAGAACGAACACGGGATAATGTATCCTCATAAAAGGTGTATTACGAATTTCAATCAAGTAGTTGAAATATTTGTAATCAGAGTATGTATATATTAATTGTGATCTACACATTAAGTTTTACCTATATAATCGTCATTAATATGTGATGAACCTGACAAATATGTCAATACATATCCGAATGCTAATTAAACAAGTGTGTTTACTAAAGATCAAGTGAATACTTTAAGTCCCAATGAGAACAAAAATCAAAACGTCAGAAAAAATTACAAGAGTTTTTGAGAACAATCTAACAACAGGTAAGCAGGCTGCAAAATTAGGATGGATATTTTCATTTTTACTTTTGGTAATGTTACATATGTAGAAGATAAGTGAGAAACGAGCCCTATACATTGAAATTATGAAGCAGTACAATCTCGAATATGTTTACTTTAAAATATGGGTACTACATTTATATGTAATGTTCTTAATAATCATGTCACTAGTTTAAATTATTTATCTCACTTTAAAATGTTCTTTTGAAACCTCACATAAATTTAATCGGAATAAGGAAAAATTTTAAAAAAGGAATCAAATTTAGAGTCTGAACAAACATGGATGTAGAATAATGTGAATTCAGTATATTTCGTGGTTTCTCATCACCTGCTCACGACCAAATATCTGTCAATATTTACATTGAGGTAACATAAATTGTGAAACAATTAACATAAGTGAATGAAATTAATTGGAATGACATATATTTATATATATGCAAGAACAGGTTAGAGGTTATTTGTTGTTAGAATAAAAGAAACATGAGGAATGGGTGATATAATGATTGAATGAAGTTCAGAGACAGATAAGATAAATTGTGCGATAATTTCGAAAGCTTGAGGAATGTTACTGCTATGCCTACTGTCAAATAAATTTTAAGCTATTATAATTTTAAGAGCCCTTGTCCCTCAGTGCAATAGCCCGGCATTTACTTGACACCAGGCATATCATTGACATTTCTCAAGGTTTCAAAATTATTAACAGACAAAAAAATACTGTGTCTCTTTGGTTTGCCGAACTTACTCTACATACTTACACCGGTTACTACCAGTGGATCATAGACCGCCGACCAGCATTCTCCAACCAACTCTGTCCTGGGCCTTTCTTTCCAGTTCTACCCAACTTTCTTCACACTTCTCATGTCTGTCTCTATTCCTCGACTCAATATGTTCTTTGGTCTTCCTCTCTTCCTTTGGCCTTGAGGATTCCATGTGAAGGCCTGCCTTGAGAGACAGTCCGGTGCTTTCCTCAATGTGTTTCCTATCCACTTCCAGTATTTCTTTCTGTTTTCTCCCTCCACTGGGAGCTGGTTTGTTCTCTCATTGTAGGTTGTTGCTGATAGTGTCCGGCCAACGGATCCGAAGTATTTTGCGTAGGCAATTATTAATAAACACTTGTATTTTCTGGATGATGGCTTTCACAGTTTTCCAAGTTTCCGCCTCATACATACATATTTTGTTAATGTTTAGTTTGTTTTATTTATTTAGGCCAAGGGACAGATAAGGGTGTTACAAATTTCTTATGAACACAAAAACTTAGATTGTTGGCTCGAATTCCTATATCTTCTGCTATGTGTAAGAGATGAGATCAAACACCATAAGGAAAACTAGTAGGAATACGATTAACTTATAAACAACCTTGATTGGTTCAATAATTTTGTATATGCATATAAGTATTACTGTATATTACAGTAAAGCCTATTAAGTATCTAATCGAAAACAATATTGTTCGCTTATATATATATAGTTCTATATTTCAATATATTCAAGATATTATTATAGAATTTATTTACTGAATTTCTACTGGTTATTTAATACAACTCAACTGTATTATGAACCTAAAATCTATCATTTATATTTAACCAATAAATATCAAGATAGGATTTTGTTATTTTTCTTTTTGATAAAAAATAATTTATTCTTACGTAATTTAGTGAAATTATCATTTCAAATGTCAAACTGTCGACCAGTACATTTTTTTAAAGAAATTATTCACAAATTAACATTGATAAGTTTGTTTGTTTGTTTTTTTTTATACATAAACTTGTCTACATAAATTTCATGAGAAATATTTCATTACATCATTTTAACTGCTATGACAATAGTGGTTTATGATTATTACTATTATTATTATTATTATTCAAAACAATAACTAGGAATATATTCAAGTATATATAAACTATGACAATAGAATTGAATCGAACTGTTGAATGTAACAGTGAATTTCTAAATTCTCTACCTTACAAATCTACATCTTCAGAAGTTTGTTTAAGTACATGTGAAAATATGCCTAAAGAGAATGAATTAAAAACAAAAAAATTAGTAAGTTTTATATAATTTTTCATTATGAAATGATTCTTGTTACAGATCCGTTATTGATAAAACTTTTGTGATCGTATTTTATTATTCTTACTACTATCAGTACACCTGTTTTCCTACTATTAACTTGTACTTTTACCTATTATATGTGGTGACTTATTCTATTTCATTGTGATTATTAACCTAAATTACTTTGATTCGTTTAACATTTTCATCTAAATATTCATCTATATTAGAGTAAAGCCTGATGATGATCTAATTGAAAACAATTGTTCGCTAATATATGTTGTTCTAATTAAAAAATAGTTGTTTCATTATAATCTTGGTGTATTATTCATTGTTTAACATTGTTTTTACTATCTAAAAGATTGATTTTGTTATCGAATAAACACCATTTGATATCTTACTAATTACGTTTAAAATTTAGGTAGTTGTGTATAGTGGGGGAAGACCAATTTATTTACACATTTCCAATGAACGAGAAAGTTTAATTTACTTTCACAATACAGTCTTTTATAGCATAATATATTCTAATGCATAGATTTTATCGTTTCATTTTTTTCTACGATACAGTCACGAATCTGTTAAGGTTTATTTTTAATTTTAGCCATTTAAAATGTTTATGTAGACTGTTATTAAATGATTTCTAGTTCATTTTTTTACTTTTATTTTCGTGTTACTATAAATAATCGAAGTTAAACTTATTATTTATGATTAAAAACTAAATACTACTTGTTTATATAACGACTGTAGTGTGTTCTACTGATGTTGACAGATATAAGTAGTATGTATCATTAATTGAAAATGAAATGCCTGGCGGCAGAAGATTAAGAAGATCGAAGACAAGAGAACGAGAACAGAGAACGATTGATGTGGAAACGAAGGAACAACCAAGTCTGAGAAAATTGATTAAAATTTTACAAATGAAGTATTTACATTATGGTTCTCAGATTTTACTAAGAGAATCTGTAATTGAGTGTTCAAATACATTTATTTGTCCACAACGGTGTTCTCGTTCACTATGATGAAGAGATGATGAAGAGATTAACATTAGCATTGAAATCTCACGTTACTTTTTTTTCTTTATCTTATACTAATAAACGAAATAACAATTGGTGTATTTCTTAACAGTGTATTCTAATAACCTGATGAGTATAAAATATTTTATCAAATTGTACATATCATGAAAGAGTATTCCTATCTGTAATAACCTGTAAAAGTGACATTAAAATATCATAAACGATTATAAACAAATATATTTGTAATATCCCAATCAGTATAAAAATTAGATTTCCTGACGTTTCGTGACTTAGTGTAAGTCACTTCTTCAGACAATCTAATTTTTAAACTGATTGGGATATGACAAATATATTATTTATTTATAACAATCTACCTAATGCTCAGTTTATTCAAAATTATCAAATCAAACCTTGGTAATGATACCTGCAAGATCATGGACGATTGTTCTTAATAAATATTTTGATTCATTTTCTAATTTTTCCCGAAAACTGACAATATACAGTTTTGTATTTAAAGTATACTTTAGTCAAAAATTAAAAAAAAATTAATATTAGTATTATTAGTACTATTAGTATTATTTGTGGAATAATATCGTTTAATTTTCTGTCACTTAAAGTAAAACGAGTTACTTGTAAATTATTGCCAGTTGTTTAAAAGTTCTCTAGTTAGTACTTTGTCATACCATAATCTATCTATAAACTTATTTATGCAAGCTATCTTGCTAAGTCATACACTGATCTTCCCATTAATTTACGATCATATAGAATGTACATTTAAACCAAGATTATTATCAGTATGGGGATTTGTGGAGATTATTTTCAATGATAATCCAGCTTAGATCAACTAGTGATTGCAACTTGGAATATGCTACAATCTCCACAAATCTCTATACCGATAATAATCGTGTACTCTCTAGTGACTAGCTTCAAAATTGATTTCCTGAAGTTCTAGTGAGAAGCCGTGACTAATGGAATACAATCCATATCGGATTTGACACAGTCAACACCTTAGACAATGGATGAAGGGTTGTGCAACATCATGGATCGATTGAAGTTAGACATCAAGACTATTGGAGGACGGCTCAGTGATCAAGAGGTTAAGAGTTCTCGTGCAAGACTGAAGGTCCTGGGTTTCAATCCTACGTGCAGGATGGTGGATGTGCACTGATGAAAAGTCCCATAAATGGTTAAAAAGGCTATACAGATCTTAAGGGTTTTAAATGGTGAATAGTACTGATAAGCTCTACATTAAGATAAATCAGCTACTCAATAATCCATATATTTCAATGTTTTGCCAAAATAAATCGGAACTGTAGACATTCTTGAGATTAATTAATCGTCAGAAATGTACAACCTTAAATTTGCCAATGTAACAAAAGTGAGTAAAAAATGAGCAAAAGTGAGAATATGATGTAAAAAAAATACAGAAACTAAAAGATGAATATAAATTTGTCGCAAAGTTCACTTTCATCTTAAATACGTGAACTGTCAGTCAAGCAATAAAGTCAATATCGTTTAAATATGAAATTCGAAGTCTAAAATATGAATACCAACGGCTAAAAGAAGTTGGCCACAAAAGTAATATACTCAATGCCTGAAACTTAAGTTGTGCTTTGGACTAAAATACGAATAAAAATATATGTTTATTACTTGATGTTTTGTTGTCTACTATATAGAATAAGGGGAATGCTCAGTAAGGCCAGCTTATCTTGTTTTAAAACTGTAGGTAAATTAGTAGGTATATATACGTATGGATAAATTCAGTTATAACTCGTTAATAAATATGAGTTAGAAGCTTCATGTAATGAAAACCGATATCCAGTAAATGCAACGTTTTGTAGTAATATAACCTTAACAATCCATATATTCTGTCTTTAATGAGATACATTAGAACTTTTCTTCTATATAAAACAGTATTTGCGTATTACAGAGCATGCATTTAAAATTTGATGCATCTTAAACTATTCACAGAATGGAATACCTTCTTACTGATATCATTGTATTTTTATTGTATTGAGTTTGCTTATCTTATCTCTATATCATACTTTTATGCCCGATTACTTCATTACATATATGAAAGTACCAATTCGTCTTTTTAGTAACGACATTTGTGTAATCAATGATTTTGCATAATTGAAGTTATATACACATTCCTAACTACTTATAATTTTGAAACTTTTCATTACCGCAACCATTTCATTTCGAATTTCAAATATTGTCAATGAATATAGTAACCGGTGGCAACTACTGTGCTTTATTAATTGAAAACATTTTTTTCCCTTAATATTCTAAAGGAACAGTTGTTTATATATTTCTCTTATGCAAGAATATATCTAAATGCTGAGATGAATTTATTCATTAAAGTGAATAATTATATATCAACAACTAATATACAAACAAAATTCCATTCCGAAATACCATTCATACTATTTGCAAAACAATGTCCAGAATTGTGTATTTCATGCTGTTACTGTATTATAATTAGTATATACAAATCAGTATTCATTTATTATTTTATTACTATTTTTATAATGTATATTTCTAAACGTCTAAAAGGTGGATACTTCACAAGTTAATTTATAATTGTAGCAGTTTTAATTTTTCCAAAAGTTAGAAACTGCATTCATGTCCTTAAGTATTTAAGCCTTATTAATCCGAACAAATTAGTGTAACCAAAACCATTAAGTAACGAGGTAGGTTATCATGTTTAAAAATTTTAATAGTATTTAGTTTTCAACTGATGACCAGACATATATATATATATATATATATATGTTCTGAAATACTTCTGGGGGCTGGTACCATGTCAAGGTCACACAGGTTACTCTAGCCTCTAGACAAATCAATCTATTCATTCTTCACAAGCCTAATTTTTGCCCTATCACTTATTCGCTTATTAATCATGACTTTTTATATAATTGTATGTGTGCTAATTACTTATCTTACTCATCGTGTCTGCAACTTATTTTTGTTCGACTATAAATATCAAGCCGTGCTTGGCTAAATTGAATTAGCTCACTCACCTCCATTGTTCGTCATTGTGTTTCATTTCGCTTTCCGATCAACGATTGTACGAAATATACGTATTCAAAAATTCATTCTGGTATTTGAATTGTCTAATTCCATTATTGACGAACGCGATTTAAGTCGATGATTATATACAAGGATTGACAACATGTATATTTTGATAACACGCAGTAAACGATCTACCTGGAGTCAGATATATGGCGTTACCATTTAGATCCGCGAAACAATCCAGCGACTGTCTAAACGAAGGCTTAACTCAGTAATATGATGTGAATCCAGATGTATTTGTCTTTACAGTATATGAGATACATTTATTTAAGGTTTACAATAAAATAAAAAATAACATTAGATGGTTTTTATAAGACATTTTTTCCAGTTCTTACATTAATCGATTTTCTATAGCCATTAAAACAAGAACATACATTTTTCCCAAAGTAAATATCATTATTGAGTTACTACATAAATTATCCATGGATTTGAATAATCGAATTACTATTATTTAAGACGGTGCCCCCTTTATTTGTAATTCTTGTCAGTAAATAACACTTGGTTAGAAAAAATTATCTGTCACTCTTACAAAACTTCAACAGAGTTTAGTGAAGAATCGAACAGTTTTACAACATTACCAACTATGTTATCAGGAGTAGATGAAGGATGAACGGCTTTGTGAATGCTTACTTATTTAAGAAACAACTTGCTAGATAATTCGTTTTAAATAAAATTTTATTCAGAGCTTTTCTAGTAGGTTTTCCTTCCACAATATTTGTGATTTTTACCCTTTCTTATGCCACTATTACTTCATTGATTCGTTTATGTTTTCAGTATGTTAACTAGTTACCACGTTTCAAATTCCGGTGAAATAAGGTTTATGGAATTTCAGTTTTTGATCTTATTAAATTTTTTGATCAATAACACTCCGTATTGCAGAACCTCACAATAATGCGTCCTAAATATTAGTGGCTTACAACTATATCAAGTGTCTTAGTTTGGTGATTTTGTTACAATCAGCTTCCTTTACATTTTTATTTGTAAATTCTATCAACAATAAATAACAACAGAAATTTCAGTAATAAGTTTACATCACCATTCGTTATCTTCGAATTTATAACTTTTTATATTATCTTCTTTTGTTTCATTTTCTATCAGGTCCCAGTCCAACGAACTTATAATGAATGCATCCTTTACGCTTTAGGTGAATGGAGGTGTGCATGTCTTACAACTGTTTTAGTCACAGGTATTATTTTAGTATCATCATGCGGTGTTGAACAGCTGACAAATTACATGAATTCATCTCACTTAGATACACACTATCCTACTTCATATCATAAACACGATCAAAGTTTTCGATTATTGTGTCAAACAAGTTCTCTTCTAATTATTAATGGTTTATTATTCCTAGTATATTTAGTCTATTTAATTGAATCATGGCAATCAAGAAACTGGATCCAAACAACATGGTTAATTGATACAAAAATGGCATATAATTTAATACATAATGCACATAAACTTATTCCTTCTATTCTTTGGCAAATCAAATGTTATCATTATGCTCATAATACACCACAATATAATCATTATCAACAGAATCCAATGCAACAAACCACAACATTGAATGTAAATGAATTAAGTAAACCAATTAAATATTCATTTATCCAAGATGATTTCAATAATTTAACTAAAGAAGTTAATACTCAAAATAATCAATATCGATCGAATTCTAATAAAATCCCTAAAATGTTATCTCATTCTACTGATAACACAAATATAAATCCAATTAAATGTCATCGTATTATAACAATGAATAAAATTTGTTCATTTGATTTATCTAAAATTGATGCTATATGGGATATGTCAGATAGTATTAGTGAATTAGAAAATTTTCAATTGATTGAATTAAATATAAATACATTATTTAGTTTTTCTGATAAAAAAACTTATTTAGAATATCAAAGACAAAAACAAAAATTTTTTACAACTTATGAAAAATTCGATGTTTACATGGAAACTGAACAAAGTTAGTTTTAAAAAAAGATTTTTATCAAAAGGGGTTTTGTGGATATGATAATAATTCCAACGATTTTTTAAAAATTCTTTACATCTTACATTTGTTTATTTTCGTCACCTTGTGTATCGCTTCTTTACTTTCAACAGTTGAGATCTTGAGTCAATGGAAGTCAGAGCACCATGGAAACCCTGGAGGCACAGGATGGCCGTTTCATCCCATTGTGGGACTCTTCAGCAGTGCGAATCCACGGCCGTCCTGTGCTTCCAGATTTTCCATGGTGGTCTAGCTTCAATTGATTCATGATCTCAACCATTAAAATTACTATAATATCCACAAAACCCATTCTTATATTAATCAACATATGTTCACTAGTGACTGACTTCAAGAGGTATATCCTTGAGTTCTAGTGAGAAGCAGTGACCAGTGGAGTTCAACCAGATCTGTTGTGAGATAGCAACTCACTGATGACAATGGTGGGTGTGTCACTTAATTTCGTGGATTAGTTGAAGATAGATATTAACAACTTTGGATGCCGGCTCAGTAGTCTAATGGTTAGGCGCTCGCGCGTGAGACTGATATCTCATGGTCTCGAACCTCACAGGGGACAGGACTGTGGATGTGCAATGCTGATGAATTCCTATAATAAGACAAAACGACCGTCCAGTGCTCCCAGATTTTCCATGGTGGTCTAGCTTCAACTGAGTCATGATCTCAACCAATAAAAAAGATTTTTCTTAATATTTCAGTATTATTTAGTAATGACTGTTTATAGATTAAAAGTTAATTAGAGGTCAAAGGAAAGTTCATTTTCAATTAAATATTAGCTTTATCATAAAATCTGAATAATGAATAGATATTACATGGATTACTCTATACATGTTTCTTTTTTGAATATAGTCTCGGTTATTCGATAGTTCTGTAGTGAACAGAACACTGGTGGGGAGAAATGAATATATTTGATAACAAACTACATAATTTGTAAATAGAATCTAACAATCATTTAGTAAATGCCTAATATGCAAAATGTCCACCAGTTATCTCAAAATGACTCAGAATTCATTGTTCCTGCATTTCCATACAGATTGCATTCTGTTTCCATTCTTTACTGTTTGATCCTCTTGTCTCTGCTGCCAGACATTCTGTTCACGACTAACGTAATATACTACTTATGTCGATATAAGTACCACACACCAGAGTTCTTTCGTTTTATTTTTAGGTTCAAATAGTTTAACTGATTATTATGTTCATATTTCATTGTACATTAATATTGTGTTTCATCAAACTAGTAAAGCAACTATGTGGCATAATCCGTATTATTGTAAGCATTAAATGTATCATCAACATATCTTCCGTAAAATTTTGCATCTTTGATTTCATGTTTAAGTTTTGTTTGCTCAAGATTAGCTATAAAATTATCGGGTGAAATTTCAAAGTTAAAATATACTTATTAGAGCATTTGATATGGGATTTAACAACTCGGTATAATGTAAATTCAAAGGAGTTTATAAGTGATAAGAAGCCTTGATATATAATATATTCATTTCTTCTTTAATACTTAAGAACTAATTTTTATAAAGTCACTTGTTTAAATACTAACAAAATTTCAGTATAGAATTTACAGTACATATAATTTCAAATCCACTTGCGTTATATAGTCTCAAAATAAAATTTCCTAAGTATTGTTAATATTATTTGAAATCATGAGTTCACTGAATCGAGACCACCATAGAAAACCTGGAAGCACTGGACGGCCGTTTCGTCCCACAATAAGACGTTTAGTGCTTCGAGATTTACCATGATAGTCTAGTTTCAAATGATTCATAATTTCAATTATTGAAATTTTTAAAATCTACAAAACTTCCCTTCTAATAATTTTTTTTTATTTGTTTTGTTTTACAGTTTGTACTTTTAAAGATTTTATGAAATTTCCAGAAAAATTTCTTATTATTCATCAATTATCAAAATTACCATTCTATTTAAAAGATATAACTTATTTAATAGCTACACTTTTATTATGTTCATTACCATTAAGAATTTATATTTACGCAAATAAAGCTAAATTAAATTGTAAAATTCATAAAATATTTGGTTCTAAACCAATAAATAGAAATTCATTAATAAATACATTACCTAATTATACTATACCATTATCATTATCAAATCAAAATTTTAATTATATTAATCATAATAACAATAATAATAAATTACATTATAATAATGAAGCTATTGTATTATATAATAAACATATTTTAAATAATACTGCTGATATAATACAAAATGACAATAAAAAATATAAGAAATATATATCAATTATTACAAAAGATTCATATGATGTTAATCAAATAAAATATGATAATAAACATAGTTCTATTGAAAATGAAGATCATGATGATGATAATCATGAAGATGAAGATGAAGAACTTTTATCATTGGATATACGATTTGATGAATATATAAAAAATAAATCTATTAAAAATGATAAAAATAATATAGAAAATAATAATTATAATTATGAATTAAATACTATTTTAAAAAATTCTAATGTTGATGTAACATCTGTGTGAAAAATATATTACATAATAGTAACTTTGTTATTAAAATATATTTATTTTATTATTTTATTTGAACACATAAATACTGGTACAAAGAGGCACCAGATACATATGTGCCACACAAATCTCAATTGATTGGTGTGAAGGCTATGATACTGCGTGGGTGCCAAAACCGAAGCAGATTGCCCAAACCAAAGCAGGTATTAAAATATATATATTCTTTAAAGATTTAAAGCATATGGATACCTATATCAGATGAACTTAAAAGAAGTAAAGTTATGTTAAGAAAGGACGTTATTCTCATTTGTATGCTTAAGTTCAATGATTGAGTGTAATTAATGTAATACCAAAATGGCTATAATAATCATTTCTCTATATATTTCAGATATTTTAGCGTAAATATTTTTAATCTTTTTAAAAAAATTATATCCTCATTTCTGCAGCAATTTGGAAGACTCTTCCAGCCTCCCCCATTGTACGAGCATTCCATGTACTTAAATAAATGGTTGCTCTGGTTGTCAGAATAGACATCGACCAATTGACTTGCGAAAAAAATCGGCTTTCATCATGAGGCATCACAACTCTTCTAAATGAAGACTTTCCGACTCCCAAGGCAGAGTTTAAATGGTTTGAATAATTTTTCTGGTTAGCGTTTTTTCGCGAGTCACATTTCTACGGGATGGAGTCGCTAACCCCATGCCCAACCGTCCTCCTTTATCTGGGCTTGGGACCGGCAATAGCCTCAGGAGAGAATCCAGGCGGAGTTTAAAAAAAACTTTACAAAATTGAATAAAAACTTTCGTTTAAATTTGATCGCATAATTTCACAGTATTCGGGTGGGTTAGTATGAGACATTAAAGAAGAAGAATTTATTTATAAAATCTCAGCAAATGAATTTTAAAATAAATCCAACGTTTTACCTGGAAATCTGATTTCGTTTTCACACTACATGTTTCTTACAGAATAATGTCAATACCTACCTTAAACATTGTTAACGTTGATTGGATGACTTATTCAGCATATAGTAAACCGGAGAACCTTGTGCCTATTTATATTCGATAATTTTGATGTTTGGTTATATTTCGTTGAAAAAGCTTGAACCAGATTGCCAGGCAAAACGTTGGATTTACTTCAAATTCATTCGCTGAGATTATACATATACATTCTTCCTCGTTAATGTTTTACAAAAATGATTTAATTTGTTCAAGATATACTTTATTATCGATAATTCTTTTTCTTTCCGATTAAACTGCTTGCCATTTTCTGGTTAGCGTTTTTTTAACGAGTTAGTTTTTTACGGGATAGGGTCACTAACCTCATGCCCAACCTGCCTCCTTTGTCCGGGCTTGGGACCGGCAGTAGTTTCAGATGGGCTCCAGGTGGAGTTATTAAACTAATTGAGGCAAACCTTTTTCTTTGCTAAGCATTTTCAGTTTATGATAGCAATTTGTTACAAATGAAGTAAGAATTTATAGCATAATTTGAAAATATAGAAACTTTCTGTTTCTAATATATTTTTAAATAATGATTATTATCAGATAAATGGTTATATAGGAAAGTCAAAACACTTGTTGATTACTGTTTGTAAGTCTTGAGCTTGGATTTATATTTGTTACACATAATATCATATGAAACAAATGATTACAAAAGATGTAAGATTTTTTTTAAAATGTTGTTTTAAGTTCTTCATCGTTTCATCTAATTTATTCAAATAAGTAGGTACAATCATAATAGAAACAATAATCACTTGGCAAATTATATATATGCATGCAAGAACATGTCAGAGGTTATTTGGTGTTAGAATCAAGGAAACAATTAAGGATTGGTGCTGTAATAGTTGAGTGGAGTTCAGAGACAGATAAGATTAATTGTGTGATAGTTTTAGACGAAATGAAGGATTCATGGAATTAAAAACTGTTAGTACAGGTTACATAATAATTGAATAGAATAACTGAATAGTAATTATTCGATGAAAACGTTGATTTTCAATAGTAGTTGGAAAAATATACCCTTTTATTCACTTGATATTGTTTTGCTTGTATCTTCCCATTGAGGTTTTAAGACTGCAATTATTCACTCTGTTATTGGCATATGTGCGTATGCCGCGATATTGCCTTAATTTTACTAGATTTTTTGAGCAAAGATGGATAGTAAAACAATACCAAGTGAATTTAAATTCACCCCATTACACAAGCAAGTGGTTATCCGGACTCAGTAGCTGAGTGGATAACGCGATGGCGTTTGAAGCGAATGGTGCTGGGTTCGAGCCCCAGAGTGAACTTCAAATCTGAGATGCAGGTGCATCCAGCTGACGAGTACCAAACAGGATGAAACTCAAATCCTGGATTCCACTACTAGCCATTCCATTTTTATAGAAAAATTAAAAAATTCAAGTATATAAACATGTAAATAACTATTTTCATCAAAATAAAAAAAGAAAAGTTTTCGTTATTGTAAAATATTCGAAACAGTATATTACTTTATAGTTGAAATCATGAGTCAATTAAATCTAAACCACCATAGAAAACCTGAAGGCACTGGACGGCCGTTTCGTCCTAGTCTGGGATTCCTCAGCAGTGTTTCAACTATTGAAATTACTAAAATCTTCACAAAAACCCTTCTAATATTACTTTATACTTGCATAAAATAATTTAGGATTACATAAAGATAGATTTCTGCTTAACCGGATTCTGTGTCTAGAATAGATGATAAATTAAAGCTTCCAAATAAATACTTGAATATATATGAAAAGTGAAGTAAAAGTGAAAAAAACGGTAAATTAGTGAACAATATTCTTTTAGAATATTGAAGATCTGTCATGTTATTTTTCTGAAAGACTTTTGGTTAAATTATATGGACTATCTGAGATGACAAGTTGATTTCTTAATTGTTGATGTAGTGAACAGAACACCAATAGGAATAATCGAATGTATTTAACACTAAATTACAGAGCATCTCAATAAAATCTGAGAACCATATAGTAAATCGTTAATGTGCAAAATATCAATCCATCATATCAAACTTGGCTGTTCCTGCTGAGAACATCAATCCATTGTCCTAGATTTTATTGTTCATGCGTTTTCATACCAATTACGCTTCGTTCCCGTTCTTTCCTTATCGACCTTCTACTGAAATACATGCTATGCCTGACCACCGTTATATACTACATGTGTGGATATAAGTAACCCACACCACAATGATAGCGATATTGAGATATCCGTGATAATAATAATTAAAGTAACTTTAAATCAAGACAGTATGAAAACCTGATAAGTGGTCAATATTTCAATGCAAAAGTACCCTAAGTGATGATAAGAACAATGAAGCTAGTAAAAATACTAGAAAATGAGAATTGTTAGTAAGCAAAACGATGTAGACGAAATGAAAGCATTTTGGACTTATCATGCAGACAATAAGCCGAGGAAATACGAAAATTATAAATCAATACTGCATCACTAGTCAATTATAAAGTGTATCTTCTTACGTGTGGGTTTGTTATAACTTGTGGCCTGAGTGCCCTGTTAATGAATAAGTAATGATACCGCCAATTAGGGAGCAGTGGTTTATCGATCAAATCAATGACGTGTAAACCCGTACGGGCAGTCTAGAGTACTTATTCGTCCTGCTTCCTGTCTAGCCCAGCCAGTTAAGTCCAGAACACTAATCCGAGCCTCTGAGATATGAATCATTTATTTTAAACATACTTGGTTTATACACAATCCAAACAGACTACATCGTACCATAAAATAGAAAATAACATTTGTACAAGATTTGGCCAAATGTGGCTGTAAATGTCGGTGATATTAATTGATAGACTGGGCATAACTCAAGAATGGTAAATCATATAATAATAGTTCATAGGTCAAAATGAAGCTTATAATAAGAGGAATACGAATATGAATAGTTTAGTTATTTAACAATTATACGATAAAAGTATACGTATAGTATTGGTCCACAAATGAATCCTAAAAATTACTACTCATTATTCTTATCGGGACATAACAGGGTTAGATGTTAAATGAAGCTTTTCCCGTCATTTTGAAGAATGATAAAACTATTATGGTACTCACAGATAAGTCTTAAGTTTATACTCGTGTCTACTAAGTAATCTAAATTCAAAATGTTTTTCCGTTGTATAAATGATATTAATAAGTTATTCTACCATGTATTCTTACACAAACAACGTTTCTGACATAATTGGAGGAACATACTGTTTAAATGTTACACTTTTTACCTGAATTACTCCATACTTCAAAAAAATTCATAAATATCAGATAAAACATTTGCCTTTGCCTCAAGCCTTCAAACGTTATAGTAATTGGTTTTTACATAATTATATAGTCAGCAATTTATTTGTTTAGAAAAACTCAATTTTACACTAAAAATTACCACTTTCGGTTGTTGTTTTTAAAGTGTTTAAACACAAAATATAAAACAGATTTCCCACATATTTAACGTCTATTTAAGGTATGGGGTTAATTGATTAATTAAAGTACAATGTACAAAATGAGCTTTCTGTAGACATTAGCAAAAACAGTTCTGTCGCTCAGTTGTCTTTGCAATTTAACAAAAAAAGGCTATTTAGAAATACAATTTGATATTCTCAAGGATTTGTTTAATTAATCCCACTGAATTACATATAAATAAAAATAATATACTATTATATAGATAATATACATATATAATAGAATAAGTACTTACCTTAGCTACCTTTCTGTTGGCATATTTATGTTGCTGATTGCTACACTGACGTTTTTAATACTCATCGTTCAATTGTATCATAATAACTCAGGTTATAATACTTTTCGAACGCAACTGTTTAAATAGAATCCCCTTTCATTAATTACAGAATACAGTAAAATTGTGTTGTTTAGATTTATTTATAAAGTAACTAAACGTTGAAAGTGATAGTTATCAATTTAAACTGTTAATATTCACCACCGTGCTTGGTATTAAACCTAGGACATTCAGGTATCATTCTGAACTAAAACAACTTCCCGATGCTTATCGAA